AATCTTGTTTGAAGAACTATAAAACCCAATCCCAAAATTGGTATTTCACCCAAATGTTTCACATAATTTACCCCACTTACAAGGTGGGGAATTAATTAATCATATCATTTTACCTAGTTCAAATTAGTTATAGATACTTCAATAATAATCAAATTACATATGGTCGAACTAAGAACTCATGGCGAGTACACATCTGAGACGATTTCAATAGCTTCAATTATACCTAATTATGATCAATCAATTTTTGAACTGATTATTCCTTACCACATCTAAAGTAAACCAGGCTAAGTTTATCATAAGATGTTACAGAGCAACAAAAATTGCCACCTCGGCTTCAACTAAGATTCTTGCCAATCGTGGCATGACCCAAGTGCGACACAGGAATAAAACATGTCTACATTTCATCAGAATACAAGGAAGATAACCCCCTAAGCAAAAACTCACTAACCTATGTCTTCACATTCTGGAGTGACGGTTAATATACTTGGTTACACAGTTGAGAAAAAAAGTGAGCAAACGAGCAAGAAAGCCACACAACGTAAAGTTGATTGGGAAGCATTAGAAATGGGCGAGTCCGGGATTACGGGTCCCGTGCCTCCGCCGCCTCCATACAAGGGCGTGGTGGTCCCCAGTGTTGGGGGAGGTTCGGTCATAGCAGGTGTTGTACGTGGAGTGATTGTTCCTGCAGGTGTTGCACCTCCTGCTGCAGCGTTGGTACCTCCGGCATTACTGTTGGAAAGTTACGAGAACCTAGTATTAGGATGCAACAAGCATGCAGAAAAAAACATGACTACAAGGAATAATATACTAATATTCAGGGATCATCATCTGATAATAATTATCTTAGCGAGTGGTTTTGTAAATTTAATAAAATTGCTTCTCATCTAAAAGCTGGAAAAAGGAAAGAATGTTTTATGTCCGAGACACTATTTTCGTAGAATTAAATGTTTTTTTATATTTTCTTACTAGTACAATAATCGTGTATAACACGTGTGTTTGTTAAAAAATTTATCTTAAAATTAGAAATAATTATACAAGAAAAATGTTACAATTTTCAAAATATTTTTTTAATTTAAGTTTAAAATAACACACATCACTTATACGCTTACCATCTTATCTTATAATATTTTTTTAAAATTACATCATTTAACAACTTTGTAGTAAAATTGATTTAGATAATTTTATATTTTTAATTAATATCAATAGACAATTTAATTTTTATTATAAAGAAATATAAGTAGTTATTATTTTGTAAGTACAATAATTTTTTAAATCTACTTATAATTTAAGTTAGTAATTTTTTCATAATTTTAAAAGAAAGAGGAGGAAAAAAGAAAGATTGAGGAAAAAAAATTTATGCCTTATATATCACGTCTAGAATAGAAAATGTAATATAATTAAGGCTCTTACAAAAGACCATAAATATTTAATATCATGGCTACTCCAAACTTAGTTATTTTTTTATTGAGACTAAATTAAAATTCATCCAAGCCAAATGACAAAGCATGAAAATTTGGCACATAGGATCTCGAAGCATGCGAGTCTGCCAAGTAAACTCAGCACATTCGGGAATTATATATAGTGGGATTATATATCTCTGCATAGGGGACGGATCCAATGAGACCACTCCTTAAAATGAGTACGTGAGACTCAATCTTAGCCACTCATTTTGTCTAGATCAAAATCAATTAAAATATACATTAATTAAATAATAAAATAATAATTAGTTGACACCGGCGTTGACTGTTGACTTCTGGCGTTGACTTCCGGTGAAAATCGTTGACTTCCGGCGTTGACTCCGGCATTCGGGAATAATAAAATAATAATTAGTTGTTGTTAATTGTTGGTGTGTTCAATTTCGTGGCTTAATCAGCCTCAATCAAAACCCAAAATAATAATAATTAAACCCATAAATTGTAAATTAAGAGGAGTCGAACCCTCGCCCTTGGTTGAGCGTACATTTTCCATCATCTTCTGCTATATTCAGGTGGGTTTTATTTGAAATTGCTATGCCTTAATTAATTGTTATTGTTGTGGTATAATCAATGTATACATGTGGACCATGTAGCCTTCGATGTGAGCTGTACTGGCCGTCGAACGGTTAACCCCGTAGCTATAGAACGTACCTTCGGGTAGTCTCCTTTATTATTGTTGGCAGTCAGGGCGTGAGCCTTGGCTGGTGATCCTCGATGTAAGTCCGAAGGCTAGGTTCCGGGCATTCGGGGTGGATTTACTCCTGCTGGCCGGGCACTCGACGTAAGGCCTTAGATAAAGCGTTGGGTATATAGTTCGGCAGTAGTCTATTGCTATAGGTGTGCACATGAGACGATTATTGATTATTGATAGGAGATGGGACGATTATTGATTCGTATACATGCTGCGACCATACTTAAATTGTTTATTGATTATTGATTATTGAATATTAATTATTGCATAGCGGTGAGCATCTCGATTTTCCTATTGTGCTCATCCCCACCTGCTCTTCATGGATGCAGGTTAGTGTTGCGGGCACGGCGGAGGGATGCGAGTGGTGGTCTTAATAATTGATATTGCTTCCGCCTAGAACTGAATATTGCTATTATTGTTTTCTTTATTATTGATTACTGGATTATTGATAGGGAGTGTGCTCCCTAGGATGATTTGATTATTGGATTGCGAATTTGAGTATTGATGATTGTTTAAGTATTGGTGAATGATTGAGTATTGAAAATTTTGTTAAGTATTGATAAACCGTTGAAAATGAGTAACGCCTCAAGTGTTTATTGATATAAATTTAAAAAATTTATTCTGATTTTCGGCAAATAAAAGTGGGGCGTTACATTATCACTTTAGTCTCTACATTGAGAATTGGCAAAATTGTGCCTAATATCATGCCCTTCATTGAGATTGCAAATTAATCACAATTTTTTCACTTTTTCACACTATATCACGCTCTTCAATTTTTTGCAAAACGATATACGATTTTGACCACCAGTCTTAGAAAAGCTGACGTGGCACTCAAAATACCACCACACCTGTTGAGTTGTATTTACCAGTCGATTTTTTTTTTACCTCAGACTAAGATGACATCGTTTTGTCTCTTTTGAGTATTTTTTTTCCACGTCATAGACGTCGTTTCGTTTCAAGCAAAAACTGAGAAAAAAAAATAACTAAAAAAAAAACGAAACAAAAAGTTCACTAACCACCGCCCTCCGCTGCCGATGGACAATTCCGACGACCCCAACAAGTTGGCTTCCACCCAACACGAGCCTTCATCCACCGCAGCCGTTTCCGCCCAACCTCTACTCTCCAAACCTTATCCGCTACTTGAGCCGTCAATCGCCTCCATCTCCGGACATGAACAAGAACAAGAAGACTAATCACAGTACCTTCAAATCTAGTACAATTACGTCCCTCGCTCCATTAAAGACTTGCCTTTTCTCCTTCTATTTGGTCTCCTCGTTCTCTGCACCCTCATCTTAGGAATTTTCGCCTCTGCTCACATAAACCCTCATTGATGCCAAATTTCGTCTTTCGTCTACAATTCAGCGTCTTCCTCTTGCTATCTGCTGAAAAACAGCGTTGATTCATCTGTAATTGCTCCAAAGTCGCAACTTTTCACTGACCTAAGTAATAATTCACCCTTTTCAAACAAGTCGACCTTAAATTCCATAAGTTCGAGTCTTGTTAAGAGCTTGATATGGACACAAGTGATAACCCTGTTTTTAAGAGGCCCATTGTGCTCTCCGTGCTTACGCTGCTCAACCGCTATGTCGTGGAAAAAAAAAAACCTAAAAAGTGAGACGAAACAACGTCGTCTTAGTCTGAGATGGAAAAAAAATCGAGTGGTAAATATAACTCAGCAGGTGTGGTGGCATTTTGAGTGCCACGTCAGCTTTTCTAGGGCTGGTGGTCACAACCGTGTATCGTTTTGCAAAAAATTGAAGAACGTGATATTGTGTGAAAAAGTGAAAAGGTTATGATTAATTTGCAATCTCGATAAATGTCATGATATTAGGCACAATTTTGCCATTTAGAATTATAACTATAATTCCTTTCCATGTTGAGGCATCATAATCCAAAGGTTTTGTTAGAAATATAAATCCCGTAGGAACGATTTCATTGGAGTAACAATTTTAATATAGCTGATGTTATCTTTGTACTCTCTACCCACTAGATCAACCATACTGATATCTCCTAGGGTGTGATTGTTTATGAAATAATTTGTTTAAAATGAGGTATTTTGGTTAACCATAGTTAATTTTGAAAAATGTGATATAGTTAATTGTTAGTGGAAATTTAAGAATGTATTAAAATAATATTTACAATAAAATAATTAAAATTGATTTGATATAAAAGTACGAGATAAATGATGATTGAAAATGATAGATAGTTAAGATTATGTGAGTGGATAAATAGTGAATTAAAGTTGATGTGATGTGTAAAAATGATTGGTTTGTTTTATTTAATTAAAAAAATAATATTAAAGATGGTGGGATTAAATTAAAGTAAGTTAAATTTTGAGTATGAAATAAAGTTGAGTAAATTATTTCATAAACAATCAAGCCCTAAATATTTTACTTTGATAGAGAGCGAAAGGCCACATAACAGCATAAATAACATGAATATTATGTAATTTAAACTCCCACGTAGAGCAACTTTACTAATGTCATTTACTAATTTACTTGATATTAAATCTATATCTATATCTATATCTATATCTATATACTACTCTAAAAGGACGAGTGTTTTTGTAAAAATATGAACTACCTAAAATAACCTTACTTTGACAGATTTTTAATGGCAAATTAGTAATACAGTAATACATATTTTAATTTATATTTTTAATTAAAAAAATGAATTACCTAAAAAACTCTTACTTTAACATGTTTTTAATGGCAAATTAGTAATACACTAATACCTATCATATCTTATAATTTTAATTAATAACTAATGCTTAATTACTTAAATACAAAGACATGAACAATACATTTCACATCTCCTAAAAATCAACCACAGTATTCACGCACCATTATTTCTCACTAAATTGCTTTCTTCCACATATCTCCAAAAAATCAACCTAACATCAACCAAAACAATAAAGTTTTGAAAAGATATAGAATTGTTGTTTTAAAAAAAAAAAAAAATCCTTGTTTTTAATATAATTTTATACATTATGACAAACTAGAAAAGTTGAACAATTCATTTAACTACTTTATTATTTAAGAAAAGTAAAATCTTATATTTAGAATTAGAATAGAAATTGCACTTTAGTCTTACTGGATGAAATTTTGATCCCACAAAAATCGTCATTTGTTTGTTTGTTTGTTTTTTCCATATTTAGTCACAAAGTGAATAAAATTAAAGAATTTTCACTTGACCATTAAATGGTTAATATCAAGGTGGGTAATATTTTAATTATTAACACTTAAATATATGAATTTTACATTCAATAATTAAGTAAAATATCATGAGATTTTAATTATTATTATTTTATATGAGCCACTGATTTTAAAGATGTGTGCTAAATAAAAAAATGATTTGAAAGTAAAAAAAATAATAAATCTGATGAATAACATTAAAAATATAATTAAGGTGTAAGGCTTGATAATAAATATGAAAACAAATAATAAATAAAAATTTTATAATTAATAAAATTAAACATAAAACTTTTAAAACTTATGTTTATCGATGTAAATGAATCGAATTGTTTATTTATTTTTATTTTTTTGTGCTTTTTAGTTCTATGTGTAACTTTTAGGTGATAGATAATAGTTATTTGTAATTTTTTCCATGTAGGTTGGAAATTTTAATATTTAAAAAAATGATTATTTGAATTTTAAATAAATTTTTATTTGCTATTAGTTTTTTTAATATAATATATAAATATCATATTACAATATAAAATAATAATTATTTTCGTTATTTAATATTAATACGTAAAAAGGTTGTAATTCAATTCAGAAATTAATAGGTAATCTTGAGTTAAAATAACGAGTGATTTCTAAAAAGTTATATAGACTAAATAGTTTATGTGTTTAATATATTTTTAATAAAAAAATTGTAAACTCAATAAATTAATAGAGAAACTACAACATAAAAATTTTAATATTTAAAAAGGAATGCAAAAAATAAAATGTATTATGTTACAATGAAAAATCCAACGATAAGATGTTCCACTAAAAATTCAAAAGGATATTTCATTTGCATAGCTTTCATTTGAAAATATCATTGGCTATTCCAACATAGATCAAATTATATTATAATGGAATTTTAATGGATTTAATGATTCGAGTTATCATTATTTATTTCTTGTGTGAATTTTCTTTTTGGGAACATATCAATGAAAGTTGCATTGAAAAGCTAATTGCAGTGATAGATACAGACAATTTTATATTGGGGGCACTATTTAGCTAATAGAAAAAATATACCATCAAAATAACATAATGTCATTACAATATTTAAATTTTACTTTTCAAAATTTGTCATCTTTCTCATCTGTAATACATGTTTACAAATCTTTACAGTTACAATAAGTTAAAAGTATTCAAAAAAATATAATTTTTCTCAACTAAAAGTAAGCAAATCATTGAAAAAATTATATCTTTTAAAATCTGATGAACAAAAAATTTATGTTGGAGTATAGATGACTCGACAATTTTGTTGATGAATTTATAAATTATGACTAATTGATTATAATATTAATGAGAAAATTGTAATTGTATATAATATAATATTAAGATATATAAATAGATTATATATTAAAACATATGACCAAAATAATATATTCTTTAAAAATCTTATGAACAAAAAATATATGTGGTAGTATAGTTGACTCGACAATATTGTTAATTAATTTATAAATTATGAATAATTGATTATAATATTAAAGAGAAAACTGTAATTGTATACAATATAATATTAAGATACACAAATAATTGATATATTAACACATATGACCGAAAAAGTTCTATACATAATATTATGAATTTTTAAGCAAATACAAAATTTAAAAACATATGAAAGAACAATATAAAATAAAAAAAAATATTAAATCTGACAAATGATATTAAAAATTACTAAGTTGTAATACGTACTAATAAATATTAAAAAATAATAAATAAATATGTTATAATTAATAAAAGTAAACATAAACCTTTTAAAACTTATATTTATCAATGTAAACGAGCAGGGTTGTTAAATGCTTGTTAATTTTTGTACTTATTAATTCTATATGTAACTTTTAGGTGATATACAATAGTTATTTTTACCTTTATCCATGTAGGTTAGGAAAAAAAAAACACTTGATTATTCTAATTTTAAATTACTATTTATTTGCTATTAGCTTTTTACATATAATATTTATATATCATATTAAATATATAAATAATAATTATTTTAATTATTTAACATTTAATATGTAATAAATGTAACTCAATTGGGAATTTATTAGGCAATCTTGAGATAAAATAATGAGTTAATTTAAAAAAATTATATGGATTAAAAAGTTCATGTGTTTAATGTATGTTATTAGAAAAATTGTAAACACAGTTGCTCAATAACTACTACCTAAAATATAATGTTTAAGAAGGAATACAAAAAAAAATTGGTATATTGCAATGGAAAATGCATCTGTAAGATATTCCAAAGAAAATTCCAACGGATATTTCATTGGTAAAGCTTTTATTGGAAAATTTCATTAACTATTCCAACAGAGAACACATTAAATAACATTAAAAATTTTGTGAATTAAATCATTCCAATTACTATAATTTATTATTGTTTGAATCTCTGTTGAATTTTTTTACGGATCGTATTTCAACCGTTGAAAAAACTGTCATTGAAATTGTAAAAAAATTAATAGAAGTTCCATTGGAAAACTAATTGCAGTGGCGGATCTAAAATTATTTTATATTGGGCACTATATAGTTAATAGAAAAAGTATACCATCAAAATAACATAATGTCATTACAATTTATAAATTATACTTTACATAATTTGTCATGTTTCTAACTTGTAATACATTCTAACACATCAGTACAGTCACAATAAGTTAAAAAGTATTTAATAAAAAAAATGACGATTTTTCTCAATTCAACATAAGAAAATCATTGAAAATAATATTTTTTTAAAAAAAAAATTATAAGCAAAAAATCTATGTTGTAGTATAGCTGACTCGGCAATATAATTGATTAATTTATAAATTACGAATATATAACTAGAATTCCCCTTGCATTAGTTATAAAATACATAAAAAATATATTTTGAAGATATAGAAAAAAATATGTTGCAAAAGAGAGATTTGAAACTGTCATCAAGATTGAAATAATATAATTAGAGGATAAAATTGTAATTTTGAGATATATTATATTTTCTTTAGTTGTGATGCCGCGTTTATGTTATAACATTAATAAAGTTATGAGTTGAATTAAATTATCTTTCAATTTCATTTTTAAAATAGGGGACATGATAAAAATT